ATCATGGCCTTAACTGAGCACAGGTATAGAACACACAGAAGTAGAAACACTGACAATTACATGCCATCTGAGAACAAAATCACTACCCGCTGAAATTCAAATCACAAATACGGGTTTGAAATCACATGAGGGTGAGCAAACAATGACAGAATTGTCTTTTGTTTGTGTAAACTAATTGTTAAAGTCTCTGGCATCTCAGATTTACCACTGAGAACTAACCCCTAGTAATCTTTCATGTGTCTCCACTAGAGAGTTTCAGATAAGATCTCAACAGTGTCACAAACTGCTCATATTTGCAGAGATATCAATTCGCAATGCAAAAAGATTTGAAACAGGCACTAAAACATTGCTTATCAAATTCTTCCAAAATCAGTTTATCTAGACCAGTGTTTCCCAACCGGGGTGCCGTCTGTCGAGAGCAGGGGTGCCGTGTAAGTGCCACAAGTTTGTTAAAATTTCCAAAGGGTGCCGCGACTAAAAAAAGGTTGGGAAACACTGATCTAGACCATGCAATCCATAATAGGTTTATAGCTTGAAAGTTGTATGCAGAGAAATTTCTGTTCAGTCTGCAACTTTTTTTGAAAATAATCATATTTTAGAAGTTTAATTTTGTTTGGCTAAAGTGCAAACAAAAGCCTTTCCACATAAAGTGACAACTCATTTTAATATATGAACACATAATCATCAAGTCGTGATCTCTCATAATGTTAGTGCCTAATTACCAACCAGTCACATGAATAATATTCATAAGCTAAGCGCATAAGTTTTATGCAATCACTTATTCTCTTAGTTCATGGTGTTTATGCCTTGTTGATTAGGAAAACATTCAAGTTTTGTTGGGTAGCTCTCTTAGAGTGTCTATTAGTTGTTACACTATTTACATTTCAAATGTGCAGTGTAAAAAGGAGCAAATCCAAAATAATTTAGAATGACAGAACTGAGCAAATGTGAAAATTGCAACACACATTTGTGATTCAGACTGTTTAAACCTTGCTCATTAGGAGTGGTTGTCATTGCCGTACTTTTACTTACACTACCGTTCATAAGTTAGGTGTCAGTAAGACATATTTTTAAAGAAATTAATATTTTTATTCAGCAAGGATGCACGAGACAGCCAAAAATGACAGTAAACATATTTATAACATTCAAAAATTATTGTTAATGTTAATTTGAGCAGAAAATTGTAATAATTTGATATACAGCGCCGTTGTGCTACGGGTGTCCCGAGTTCGAATCCCAAATGAAGACCTTTCCCGATCCACCCCACTATCTCTCTCCCACTTTGCTTCCTGTCAGCTGTGATCTGTCCTATCAAAATAAAGGTGAAAATGCCAAAAATAAATCTTTAAAAGAAAACTGTAATAATGTCACAATATTGCTGTTTTATTGTATTTTAAATCAAATAAATGCAACCTTGGTGAGCATAAGAGACATAAAAAATCTTACCAATCCCAAACAATTTAACGGTAGTAATTTAAATACCTCTTCATCAATGCATTCATGTGCATCCATATCTGTGATCAATTACAATACTCAGTCACTGCAAAAACACATTGCAAATAGAAAATGTTGATGCAAGGGAAGTAGAATTAATTGTGCATCCCTAATACATGTGAAAGCAAAAATAATACATTAGGCTGACTGACAGATTGTGTTTGTGTATGTCTGAGCATGCATGTGTGCAGTCTGGATAAACCAGACAGTCACACAGTCATCACAGACAGTCGCTTTATACTGCCAATCAAACACATGAGGGTGTCAGAAAGATCCTATTTCATGCAGATTCTCCACAATGCCTGTTTGACACTCCTGATCAAGCCCCAAGAATCTGCACATATAAGAACCAGCACAACATGAAATCCTGCTTCTTTCATCGCCTCTTAGATCTCTCTTACTCCCTACGTGTAGCATTGTCAGACCGTTCTGCTCTCTCTTCCCTATCGAGTAACACACCGTGATGTTACATTAATCATTTTACCCACTCTATAATTACATTATCTTCAGTCGCCATCCATGCAAGTTAAACCCCAATAAAAGACTGAGGATGTCTCTATAAGAGACGAGCAAACTAATGCAGATCCATCAAAAGTGAATAGACACATATAAATCTGTCAATTCAAATATAATCAACCCTCTTTCTCATTTCGTTTTTCATTTCCATGTAAATGGAGCTGGATTACGGTGATATGGCACCTAATAGGACCAGCATGCAATCATGAAATGAAAAATAGCGAATAAAGGGGCACACATACGATGTAACCTATAAAATATCTCAAGATATATCCTCTGAAAATAACTCTCAAATCGCAAAGCATCAAGTAAATGCATCTTTTAGGTATTTTACTGAAAAAAGACAAAAATATTGATTCAGAACAAACACTTTTTCTCAGTTTCTGAGGTTCGCTGTCTTGTTTAGTCTTGTCCTTTGCTCTAAGGCCATACCCTGTTTCTTCATTTCTTTCTCAGACTCTTTTGAAGAGCGCGTTCCTTGTGCTGTTTCTGGTTTCTGTAGTGTAGAGCAGCAGGGACCTGCAAACTCTCTGTTTGTCAGATTGACTTATATGAACACAAAGGGAGCTCTAGGGAGAGTATAACAGATCCTCCGCAACAGGGCTCCTAAACCTGAGCTACACACACACACACACTGCAGAGCAATCTTCTCTGAATCTCTAATCACACAGAAGGTTGGCACCACTGCCAATAAAGCCAAATTAGATGAACTTGCACACACATAAAACTCTTACTAACAGAAAAGTATCAAAAGAATCACGGTAATACCATGTTTTTGGACATCTTTATAGTAAGTTTTTTTGACATGTATTCTTTGAAGTAGCTTGGAGTACCATGTAAATAATAAGGCACATGCATATGTTAATCAGTAACACATCAATAACAGCCTATATATAAATTTACCATGATATTACACTGTTAAAAAAGAAAAATTAAATAAATTGTTAAAAATTAAATAACTTGCTAAATATTTTACATAATTTCTTCAGCAAGAATTACAAATATATAATAAATAAAATATAATATAATATAATACAAATTAGTATAAATTAATAATATGTTTACACAATGCATTACCCACCATTTCACCACCATAATACCATGTTTTTTAAACATGTACCATGGTATTCTTCAAAGTATCTTGGAGTGCCATGTAAATAATAATGCACTTGCATTTGTTAATCATGCATAAGTACCACTGTAAGGCTGTATAACAGAGCCATAGTATTACATTGTAAAAAATATATAATATAATATAATATAATATAATATAATATAATATAATGTTTGTACCATTCTTTACACATGTAACACCATAATATTATATATTATGATACAATATCATTTTTACTATATGTAGCACACACCAATATATCTTAACCTGTGTTCATTTTTGTCTGGTTTTGAACATGAATCTAACTAATTTAGTTAGGTTTATATATATATAAAACAAAAAAATTATGCATGACAAGATATATTCTCTGAAAGTCTTAATATCTCGTGCAAATTTGCTTCTCAAGTAAATGTATCTTGTTTTAAGTATTTTTTGTATGTCTACGTATTTTAGTGGACCAAAATATTGATTAAGAAAAAGATTTTTGGCAGTGAATCATTTGATAGCATCACTGAACTATTGGAACTGCCACATTATTTCTCATAAGCGATATGACCTTGTTTCAAAATGACCAGTACAGTAACACTTGCTTCTGTTTAGTGACCCTGCATAATACATGAGAACTGCAGTGTGAAAATACCCTTCTCTCTCTGTGTCTCTCATCCACTCATTGCTTTATCCTCCCCTGAGAGCCTAAAGGTAATGGAGCAGGGCAGCATGGTTAATTCAGGATGTGGAAAAACTGTATTGAGTAGAGGCAATGGATTCAGGGCGCATGTAATGGCCATGTGGGTGGAACGCATACATACACACATCTATTCGCTTTTCAACAAGCACAAAATATGCGAAATATATTCTGCAACCATTGACTGGTTCTTGTTTAACACCCTGCAAACTGGCTGCTCTAATTAATTTAATTAATCAGGTGAAGTGAACAGGTTTATGTTGGATAAATAAAGTTCAGGTCAAACTTGTGGAGTATTATACACCCAAGTCACAAAGGGCATTATGGCTCTCTCTACAGACAGCACTATCCAAATCCAGCAGCAGTGCTGGTAAAAAGACTCTACCAATCAATAGCAGAGATGAAGGGGGGCTGAGATTAATGGGCTGGCGGTGGCAGGCCAAACAAGCTCTAATTTGTTACACTCATCTATAATCACACTGTCTGAAACTGCTACCAGATTTCTGCTCAGTAAATCATGGAACAGATCAGCAGTTTATGCAAATTTTAGAAGATTTTCAAGGTCCTAAAAAAGAAGGAATGGCAAAAATATGTGTTTTTATGTTAACTAAATCTAAAATTATTAAGCATCTTTGAGATTTTTCTTAACATTTTTCGAGAATTTAAATAAAGATGAAATGAAATAAAATATAAATATTAGAACTTAAATGAAAATTAGAAATGCATTAGAAATGTTTTCTAGGCAACTAACTGAAATAAAATAAAATAGAAATAGAAAAAATACAATATAATAAAATAAAATAAAATGTCAACATGAAATGTCAAAAACTCATAAAATTACTAAAATTTAAACAAAAAACCTAAATGATAACTGTGAATAAAAGCTAATCCAAAAATATTAATAAATGCTATTCTAGTATAGCCTACAAATAATATTATAATAACACTATAATATGTTAAATATTAGTTTACATATAGTTTACTATAATATGTTACAGATTACATAGTATATACTATATAGTGCACAGTAAAGTGTGATATGAATGCCTCATTCATTTATAATATATCAAATAGAAGCTGTAAACAGTATATATAGTTCAGCATGTTACTGTGAGGGATGGAATTAAATTTTACTCCATATCAGCACTTTCTGATGTTTTGATGGCATAGAGAACAGGGAAGATTTCTCACCAGGCCTGGGCCTTTCTACGGGTCATACTTTTTCTAAGCCACTTGGAGTGAGGGGTCAGGTGGTAGATGAGCTGTCTGCAGATTTTATCAGATGACTTCAGTGTGTCTGAGTCCTGAAAGAACAACATGAATAGAAAGACTCAATATAAAATGAAAAAAGGGCCCTTTGATTAAATTTGACAAGACAAATGTGGAGCCTGCGGCATGAAGTTCTCATATTCTGCGAGCAAACAAAATAACGCACTATAGGGAGCAGATCAGGGCAGTTTCTTATTGCAGTCATTTTTTTTTATAAAGTTTGATGTGCTTTTTAGATCTAAATTTAGATTTGGACAAAAAGTACATCCGAAAAATAATCTTCTCTGAGACTGAAAGCAGTAATCTTCTCTGATATATAATCCAGATTGGCTTTGTGTCATATTTTTATTTATTTTTTTGCCTTGTGGATTTACAAAGATGGTCATCTAAAGCTTTGAATCACTGAACACTTTCACTGTGTACCAGCCAAATCAGACTAATTCCTCAGATACAGATCAGTGAAAGACAAGAACAAACAAAATAAATTCAAGATAATTAATTCAAATCATCTTTAAACGAATGAGCTTTTCTGGGTAGGTCGATCCGTCTCTGTCTGTGCTGCCTTGTACAAATATTCTCGATAAAGTGTGTAAGACAGCTGTCAGAGGGCATGCCATTGCATGAGGGACACTTTTTTGCCTTTAAATTAAATGACAAAACTCATCGATTTTAATTTCAGTGAAAGTCAGTTTTTATTGACATCTATACAATGTCATTTGGACACTTGCTAAAGTTAGCCTGCTTTAAACGGAGCTGTACAGTTGCTGTAGTTAACTCTACCCATGATCACACAGGATCTGGGGCATAGTCACATACAGACAACACAATTTGTTAACCCAAGATTTAAAATGTACTAACTGGATTATTGCACCCTGCTTCGATGGAAATCTCTGGACCTCCCACTGGCTCAAGCAAGGTGACGGTTTCACATTTAGAGATGCAAAACTGACGGTACACTGCAGACTGTAGGAGGTGGAATAAATCACGTCATCAAATATTTATGCTGGAACAGGTGTGATGTTAAACCAATGCCATTTAATACAATGCCCTTAAATTTTCTGCTTTGTAACGTGAATTGCAAAAAAGCTGAGGGGCAAATTCAATTCACAGCTGCAAAACTTTAGACTGTAGTATTTAGACTGTGTGCATTAAAAAGTACTGCACATGAAGTCATTGTCATTTGTTTTCAGCTCAAACGTGGTGTCTTTCTATGCAAATGAGGCTTATAATAGAATGTGCCATATTTACAAAAGTGTGTCTGGCTACACCTTTGGAATTTTACATAAAATGTTTGTGAATTTTCTAGTGATTCATATTTTAAATTGGTGATCATATCATGGAGAAGTGTGTTATAATTGTGGATACATCTAGATTATATCAATTATAGCATCAACAGTTAAAATTATGAGACACTTAGCCAATAATAATGAGATAAAAAGTCTATTATGAGATATTAAGTCATAATTTTGAGATAGGTCATAAATATGGCATACAAGTCTAAAAAAATGAGAGAGTAAAACTCAACAACTCTTTTTGTCATAATTATGACAAACTCATAATTATGGTAACACTTCAGAATAGGGAACACTTATTCACTATTAACTATGACTTTTCCCTCAATAATTTCCTAATTTGCTGCTTATTAATAGTTAATAAGGTAGTAGTTAAGTTTAGGTATTGGGTAGGATTAGGGCTGTAGAATAAGGTCATGTAGAATAAGGCAATAATATGTGCTTAATTACTACTAATAAATGGCTAATATTCTATTTATATGCAACTAGTTAAGAGACCCTAAAATAAAGTGTTACCATAATTATAATAGGTAGTTAATCTCAATTAGTAACTTAGTATCTCATAATTTTGACTTTTTATCTTATGACTTTTTAATGCAATACTTCTGACTTCTAACTTACATTCTCATAATTTTACCTTAGTATCTCATAATTGCAGCTTTTTCTATAATATCCACTTTGTCATAATTATGACTTTTTTCATAATTAAAACTTTCCATCTTATAATGTATGACTTTTCATATCATAATTGTAATGTCATACTTATGGCTTATATTATAATTTCTTCTTGATGTCATAATTATGAATTTTTATCTCATAATTTCAACTTCTTATGTCATAATTATGTCAGTTGTAAAGTTTTTATCTCATACTTATGATTTTTTGTTCATATGTGACTGAAATGGGATTTCATAGTATTGAATCCTGTGCAATGGCATCATACAGTTGTGTCCAGCATGAATTTGTGTCCGTTTCTATATCATTACCTAATTTGCATAATTCCTTTAGTGAACTGGGTATCAGTGGGCACAAATCCCACCTGAATGTCTGCCATGCTCAGAGCCATTTTTGGCAGCCATCTCTCTCATATAATGAAATTCAGCCACGGTCACTTGCAAAGCAGGTCAGACTGAAGCGTGCAGTTTCCTAGTGTCCGTTTACTTACAGTCCTGTAGTCTATACTGAGTGTCACACTGAGCTGAATCTTTAGATGAGAATGTACATCTCCTTTATGAACCACCTCCTCATGACTCTGACAGACGCACAGCAAGATCTCCATCTAATCTAATGCATCTTCTCCTATACTCAGAAGCAGCCTCAGAGTTCAGCAACTGCATTAATCATTATGAGAAGAAGAAAAAATCTGCATGCTATTATAGACAATCTTTAATAGACAAGAATGATAAGCAAGCAGACTTTAGTTTTCATAGAACTGCTAGTTTCTATTGTGCCCCACAGCTGGTATGGCTTACAAATCAAGACTTCAGCAAGAAAAGGAAATCGGTCTCGATGGAATGGCCTGTGAAAGATCCTAGATAACTGTTGGGCTGACTTAAGGCGCACAGATGCTTTGCTGATCTTCAATCATATCGTACTTTCAGCATATCAGCGAATTCAGACACAGTGACTCAGATAACACTCTGAATATCTTTCAAAGAATTTATTCATTTAAGGAATGGTTGTGATGCAAGTTGTTAAAATAACAACTGACGTCACTCAAAAACAACAGTAGTTTGAGTTTATCCAGACCTGAGCTTAAAAGTTGATTGAAGAGAATTAACTAAACTTCTGCTTGATGCATGCAGAGTTTGAAATAAATACATGAAGAAACACAAATTAGACATCTTAGGACAACTAATCACTATACTCAAACACATTTATTTTCATTTACTTTAATTAGCAATCAATGAAGTGAAGAAATTACACGCTGAAGTGAAGCTGAATGACTCACCTTCTTTGGGCACTGCATGTCTCTAGCCAGGCTCAGCAGGAGCTCATGAGATATGGGGTCCACCAGGTTTAGAAAGGATGCGTTCTTATAGAGGATATCATTGAGTGATGTACCCTCTAATCCCAGGTCCTGAAAAAGAAAAAGATCGAAAGAGAGCACATATTATCAGTCCCTCACTCAAGCTGCCTTTTCTGGCAATTTCATGATGTACTGTATGGCTCTGAATGCTTATTTTTATCTGAATGCCTTTTTCATATTGGTAATGCCAGGGATTTATGCTGAAATCTATATGCATATAGGTAGTTAGGTACACAAGTTACTATCTTGATTGCTATCTGTATGGAAGCTAAGATAACAAGGGGCCACATTTACTAATAATTTCACACAATTTCCATATTTATGTGTGCAACAGTTGGTGACTCTAAAATCAAAGCACAACAACTAGATTTTGTTTTGGTTGGGAGTATGTAAGTTTTGTGTGTTCATTGGGTTGCTCTTTAGAATTCGCTGTGCCGATGTTCGCGCATTGTTTGGGGGAAAAAATTATGCAAATTATGTATCAGTATTTCTGCCTGAATTAGTCCATATGCAGAGTTTGCACAAATACAGTGTGTGCGTATACTTTTATCTGGAACAAAAACATTTGGATATTGCCAATTAAAATGAAATTTGGATTTAAACGAAGCATTAAAATGAAACTAATTTTATAATAATTTAATTTCACAAAAATACATAACGAAGCTAGAAAACACGCTAATGTATTTACTGTAACTGAGACAAAAACATATTGAAGAATAGCAGAATTTAACTAAAAAGTCTGCTTAAAAAAAAGAGACTTTGCAATGAAGTTTTCTACTTTGAAATAGTTAATACCAAACATCTCTGGTCTCTTTTTAAAATGATTATAGACCCCAATGCTCAAATTTTGTCATTTTTTTAAACAAACTAGCTATCAATTACATGTATGATTTGTGATTTTACTGACTTGAGAGAACACTGTCCATGTCGCCAAGACCCATCATTATGGCTTTAATGGGCCTGACTATTTTATTCTTTCTCTTCTTTTAAAGTCCTACAGACACTAATTTTATCACTTAAAACTTTGATAATCAAAATAGCATATTTAAAAGTTTTTCCAATGAAAATTATTTCCTTATGTCTTAAAATGACTTGAATATAATTTTAAACCCTTACCTTTACAAGGCTCTATGAATATGCAAATTAGTCCCCGCCTCCACTCAATCACACCTGCTCTACTTTCACTCTACTTTACTACTTTCACTTTAACTGAAGCAGTAAACACTACACAATGGCAAGAGGCAATACTGGATAAATGATTACAGGAGAGTGAATCCGTGAGTGAAATTATTTAAATTCTGAATGGATTATAGCCTAGAAAGTGCACAAAGTACGCTCAGCTTATTATGACTAAAAAGCTGTCACACATCTTAGTACATTGCAATTTCGCAAAGTTCCATTATATTCAATGAAGCATTACACTGCACAATGAATCTCTTATTTACATAGGGGGCCCTATCATACACCTGGCGCAATGCGGCGCAAGTGTTTTTGGAATTACATTCCGCCATGTAAATATCGAACCCGCCATGGTGCGAGCGCAACTGGCTTTTAAAGGGGATGGGAGATGAGACTCTGATTGGTTTATTGCACGTTACGCCCAAAATACACCCATTACTCATTAAGAGAATAGGAACAACCCGTTTAGACCATGCACCCGGGTGCGCCGACCGTTTTCCCGTCATTAAACTAGCAAAAGTGGATTCGCCCTGAGTGCACCTGCGCCATGCGCTTTAGACCATGTGCTTAGATCGTTAAAATAGGGCCCTGTGTCTACACTTTGTTTGTTATAATGAGAGGATTTGTGAGCGTGTTGAACTCAGCGCTAAACAAAACTCCAGTGTTAGAGCAGTGAGTAGATTCTGATTAACTTAAACACCTCTGATTGGACATTGCATTAATGAAATCAACAGATATGTCTGTGATTGGCTACAATGCTCAATGCTGCAAAAACATGTTGTAAATAGAAACCTCTGACCAATGAATGAAAAGCCCTGCCTTGCAGGTTGATGGGATTGATTACATGTCTATGAAAGGTAGGAAACGGGCAGTTTCAAACTGCGTTTTTGAGACTGATTTTGGTACACCACAGTTTTAAGGAGAAAATGCTTAGCAGTGGTGTTGACTGATGATTTTGCACATAGTTTGTTTTCAAGCATACTAAAAACACCAGACAGACATGTAAACGGTTTTTGAAAACTTGATTTTCACCATGGGTGGGGGTGGTGGGGCTTTAAAATCTTTGATCATTTATTTTACATCTAAATTTGGTTTTGACAGCTGTCGCAAAAAGTCAACTGGCCCTTTGGGAAAGTCCCAGTGTTGCAAAAAATCGAGAACATAACTTTCATGTATTATGCAACTTTGATTTACATAGATAAGAATAACTCTAGAATGGCAAGATTGGGGTGTTTCACTGAGACAGAGTGAGAGCCGCAGACTTTCAATAACACAGCAGGGATTATGAAACTGCCTCCATTGGGTTATTAATATTCAAAGACCAGATGCTTTTATCTATGGTGACTTGCATATTTTGATTGGAACAGGTCTTTGCACTCAGTGCAGTTGGAGTGTGCATGCTTAAATGTGTTTAGCAGCAGGGAAGGAGACGCCCACATCTACCCCCCTCTCTGTCCCCTACTCTTCTCCATCCATCCAGCACCAAACACCTTCTCTTTTTTCCCCATTATCGTGTGCTGAATCTCAATTCCAGAGAAAAAAAGAGCACAGGGGTCACTTCGACTGCTGGAAAGACCTGCTTAGACCAGTATGAATTTCCAGAATGAATATTGGATAGCGCTGGTTTGAAGGTTGAGCTTGTATTGTTTCTTTTAATCCAGGATCATTGGAAAAAACATACCTGTGGCGACATTTCAGCAAAATTATATTACTTTCAAAGTAAAATGTCCAGTGAGGTTCTAAAAGCGCATGCAGTTTCATCTGAAATGGATAAATGTGAATCTGGTAAAATTGTATTATTGTTGATTGTTGTACATATCACGCCAGTTCAGAAATTAAACGTCTGGTGAGTGGCGCTAAAAGGTTAATCACATTTGAAAATCCCACCCTAATTGATAAAACCAAATTGATATAGTGTTATCAGCCTCTATATAGCATCTAGTGTTTATTTTATGTAACTGCAGTGCATTTTATCTTTAGGTACGTTCTTTGGAGTTTTGCAGGTAGATTCACATTTTTCCAACGAGCCTACATTGATCTCTTTGTTACTAACTAGCAGCTACGCATTGTCTGCAAAAATGAATAAAGTCTAGTGTTTATAGGGTTAAACTGCCTGTCCGAGAAATGTAAATGTCAATAGTGTTCTATGAGATCCAGACAGCGAGTGAGCAGAATATGAAAAAAGCACGTAACAAGATGTGTAGGGCCAGTTATGCGCCCATACATGTCTCAGATGGTGGGCAAGATGGATGTATTTTTGTTTTAGTGAGGATGTCTAATGACGCTTATGTCTCTTTACTCTAACAAACCATTTTATCTTAGTATGAACAACACAAACAAAGAAATTATAGTGAAAGTCAACTCAGATTGACCTGAGAGTTCTGGGAGACAGTAAGCAGGAGATGATGATGAAAAACCTTTTAGGATTTCAAAAGAATTCTTGTTACTGTGACTTCTAAGAATCCTAATAATATCATCTCTATGACAAGCCTTTTGAGAAAGAGACTTGAGTAAAAGACCAAGCACCGGCTGACAGCTGCCTCAAGTTATATCATGCGAGATCTGGGGCTGTCAGCTTGTTTTTTAGATGCAGTCCAGCTAGCTGGTATCTCTAGATCCTTTATGCCAAAATGATTTTTCATCAATGTGAGATCACTATACTGTAGCTGCAGTCCTGTCACCAACTCACATCTCTGTAAGTAGTAGAGGAAAACCGGCTAAGATGCCTCCCGGAGTAAGATGTTCTCTCCTTCAATTTCCACTTGACCACAGAATTCAGTGCATTGTTTTGACATTTGAACAACTTTTGAGGGATTTATTCCTGAACATGTGTCATTTATATCTGAACAGGTTTGACGTTAATTTACTTTTTTCAGCTTGAGTGACTTTTTATTCATTTTTTTTTATAATTCTGCTCTCTGAATGTACATCATGTTTAAAAAATATAATAATGTATATTTGCATATTTAAATGATTAATGTTCAAAAACAACTCAGTTTGAAGTATTATAGTTTAGTCATTTTAAGTCAAACTAATTAAATGCATACTCTTAAATAGAATATTTGATTTCGTATTTATTTCGTATTTTATATTAATTAATATTGTGTTTATTATAGTGCAGTCAAACGATTAATCGCGATTAATCGCATCCAAAATAAAAGTTTTTGTTTACATAATATATGTATGTGTACTGTGTATATTTATTATGTATATATAAATACACACACATGCATGTATATATAAAAATATGTTACAAATACATTTAAAATATTTATATATAATATCAATTATATGAATATAAATATACACATGGATATATTTTCAAAATATATACTGTATGTGTGTGTGTGTAGTTATATATACATAATAAATATACACTGTATACACACATATTATGTGAACATTTTTTTTTTATTTTGGATGCGATTAATCGCGATTAACCGTTTGACAGCACTAGTATTATTATACTTTAAAAAAAACAAGTAAATATATAATACATTTCTGCAATAGATGTATTTCTTTTTCTGTAAAAATCAGAAAACAGATGGTTTCCTACAGGGGGTTTCTTGCTTGGTAGGAGGTCCTCATACCCAAGTTTTGTGCTGTAACAAGTATATTAGCAAATGTTTATTTCCCCTAATAATAAACTAGATAATGCATCATCATAATGCACATGCTAAATTCATATGTTGCAATTTATCATCATTTGTACATGTTTTTTAGACACTGATCTACTTATCCCATGGTCTCTTATCAGTTGCTTCCATGTCCACTCTAATTGTGCTAGGTCCTGTTAGCGGCTCTGAAACATGAGACCCATTTTTAATTCTCTGTTTCTTGATAATGGGAGAAAGCCTTAATAAAGACTGTGAATGCACACAGAGGACCACATCGCGGGTCTCCGGTGACATGCTTGTCGCAGCATAGGTATCCAAGACTATCTTTCTGTGTTGATTAAAAACGCTCTCTGCTCTGGGATGTCAAATTCTCAAATGTAATTAAAAGCACGTCCTGAGAGAGGGAGACAATGAAAGGAGACTATAAAAAATTTAATTTAAAAAAAGAAAACAAAGGGATGACAATAGGCAAACTGTGGGGGGAAATGACATAAAAGACTGAAAACATGAGAAGAGAGCGCACAGTGTGAATATTAAATACACACAAGTGACTAGATATAAGACCTGCTGGTACAGGCCTGTGCAACTCCTGTTCTTGATTTGTGTGGCATGCTGTACATATTAAAATGTTGACCCTCTGCGAGGCTATACTTTTGCTGCTGGAATATTTCATGCCTAAACAAATTTAACAGCAAATACATATAGGAAACCTTGTCGTTTAAATATATACATTGACATGCATTAATATTTTGCATACTTTTCTAAAAAAAAAAAAAAAAAGAGTCTGTCTATCTGGAAGAAAACTATTTCTCCTAATCTTAACACTGCATATATTATATATATTTTTTATATATATATAAAATTATAAAATAAAAAAATAAAAAACATACATTCTGGTAAATTATAAGAAATTCACAGTAAAATGATGTTCTCAGCATCACAGGATTGTATTTGATTTATTGATATATATGCAACCCGATTTCCTGATTTCAGACCACTATATTGCATAACTTGCCTAAATTCAATCAATTTTATTTAGGTCTTCACAGACAATTTTTCACAATAAATTAAATTAATAATGACCGAATAAGTTGTAGGCTGAAGCCTTTGCTTATTCCTACCCTTTATGTATTATGTATGTATTATGTATTTATCTAATGAGTGACACTTTTCTCACTGGATTTGATTCATGCAAGATAAACAGAAATAATAATATAATAATATGTATAAAATAGTGGTAAAATACAAGATGTGCTTTGGTCTCTCCATAATCTATAGTTAATAAACTAAAAGTAGTGTACAGTGTTACCTTATAAAAATAAGAAGAAACATTGTTATTTTAATAAAATATAATAAAATGTGACGCATCACATAACTTCTGGGATCCTCTTTTTACCATTTTTACTGTACAGTTACATTTAATATAGATTTCCACTAAAAGAAACTATCCTATAAATTCATACTTTCAAACATTTTTACATTATTTTACAGTAAAATAAATACATACATTTTTTACAGTGTATGTACATGAAAATATGTTTGGCCCTTAAGCTATATTATACAAAAAGTTTTGGTTTCAGAATTCTTGTTTTTCTCACCATTTATTGAAATATCTTTGATAAGCCAGCAAGCAACAGATCCATTTATAATTCTTGGCAGATGCTTTCTAATCAAAACAACAGATGAAAATCAACAGTAGCCAATTCATATGAGCAAGGCAACAGCATTTGGAATGAGGGAATGAGCATCTGCAAAGACGAGAACAAAGACGAGAGAGAGAGAGAGAGAGAGAGAGAGAGATAGAGAGAGAGAGAGAGAGACAGAGAGATTTATAGAGTTGTATGGATGTATCTTTAGGTTGGGGAATAATGGAAGAACTAAGAATGCCTTTAAAACTCGGCTGCATCTCCTTGTCATTTTGACCCAGTAATCATATGATATCAGAAAGAGTTTGTAAGGAGAACAAGGAATTCATAAACTGTGACTGAAAGTTCTGCCCTCATATCACCACTTTTAACACAGCAGGAGAAAAACGTCAGCCTTCATTTTTGCTCCAGGCAAAATCATAATAATAAAAATACTTCACATTTTGGATTTTTCTATATATAGGCCTATGTTTTTCCCCCCAGTGAATAAATGTGACTTTTTTCGATGTTAAAGTACCTTTTCTTGTCCCAGTATGAAGAGACAACTGTACTGCCCTACAACAGCTAATGGAGCAGGACTGTCTGTCTGACCAATTGCAGATGAGGGGAGTGTTCAAGAAACCTGTTCGAAAACACTAATTTTTGCATGCCTTAAATATATTATATTGTTTATATACTTTATTGCTTTTTTTCCAACAGCAGCTTTTGACTTATTCTTACACATGAGTGACCTCGTGATCTCCTGCACTCCTCTGTCTGTGTTGAATTTGAGTATATGGGTCACTCTGACAGAACAAATGTATAGAAGCATCCAGGCATTAGTATTAGTGTTTGTGTAGAGTCTCGACAACAAATAACTGCAGCAGCAAATCCAGGGAAAAGATTTCTTGCACAAGGTGACTCACTGCAGCACTACAGAGCGAGCCGCACGGCGGGCGTCCGAAGTGGAAATGCCAAGCCACATTTCACCTACTGGATACTATGAGGGTCAATGACACATAAGAATGTCTGAGGTGATAAAAATGGGAAATCTAGTTTAAAACACATGTGCCTTAGAAACATGTTCTGAGAAATATCATTTTTGTATTCTTGTTGGTTTCATATATGTTTGGAAAACACTTATAGCAATTTTTATGCAAAAAAGGGTAATGTCAAGACAAAACTCGCTAAAAGTGTAACCATCGAGTTAAAAACTACCATAGTGTTTTCACTGAACTGTAAATAGACATGTGAACACAATTTTTTACATTTCTTTTATTATACATTATTACTTTTAATTTACTTATTTAATATTAAATACATATTTTTACAAATGTCGTGACTTTTGAGTCACAAAAGGTATTCATGAAGAGCAGGGTTACTATAGTTAACTAAAACTAAAACCATAAAAAAAAAAAACACACATTTTCATCACTAAAATAAAAGTTTACTGTTTTTTCAGCTACTTGCCAAGGCAACATTTCTCATTTTAATTGAGTTTGACTTGATGTGCTAACTAAAATAACTAAAACTGGAATTAAATTAATAAAAACTTGACAGAGTTATGACAATCTAAACAGGTCCTTTTTGTTTGATGGTTTTCTTGTCACATGACAACAAAATGGCTTCATGCATGTTGGTTACACGCTAGGGTAAACAGATTTGGCAGATATTAATAATATATTTTTAAAAAGTGCTTATTTTACATATATATCATATTATAGTATTACTTTTAATATTTTAATTATTATGAACAACATAATAAAATATTTAAAAATAAATTAAAAACATGTATATTAATTATTATTTTTTTACCTTAAGACAGTTACACCACTTTGGCTTTGCACACTTTAAGCCCCCAAAAATATAAAAAAAAAATTTTTAAATTCAGGAATTGTAAACATGTTGACCATATTACAGGAATTTTCAAGATTTCTACATGAATTGCATTTTATGATCATGTCTTTGTGTGTTCTACTGATGCATCTGTGCAATATTTGTGTCAGTGATTGCAACATGCAATGCCAATAAAGCAGAGCGAGAGAGAGAGAGAGAAACTCATGCATGTTTTACAGCTGTCTCTATCAGATGCACTGTTTATTAAGCACTGCAGGACATTTATTTCCCTCACCTTCCTCAACAGTTTGAGCACGTCCGTCGCGTCTTCTCTCTTCCTCTCCCGAAGGAGCTTCTGAATCTCTCGGATCCAGGCGACTCGTCTGACATACGGGCTGTGGTTGGCTCTCCTCAGCATCCCCGGCAGCTTATCCGACCTGGGCATCAGGGATGTAAACAAGAAGTCTCCGCTCCGATCGCTCTCTCCCGTACTGTCGAAATGTTTCCGTCGCCTCCTTGAAAAATTCTCGTTGTCGAGACTGTTTTGGCGGCTGAGCCTGGAGCCCATGATCTCAATTACGTTGAAATCACAAATGTTACAATAAATACTACCCTTTTACGGTGTAACCTTGGCAGCCTGGACGATAACGCCCAGAGGTTTCCACATCGGTCCGAACTTGGGTAGCACGTACTCGCTCTGCTTACAGTCAATGTCCTTTGTGAAATCCACTCGACGACACAAGTAGTAGTTTTAGCTGCAGAAATGTCAGTGTTTTGTTCTTTATCCCAGCTCTCGCACTCTCGTATTTGTGTTTGTTGTCAGTAGAACACGTCCGCTTGATGCTCTAGTTGGTATTCAGTGGATGATGGAGATGTTCTCCACAGCACCACGCGTGGATCATTATTGAATACTGTCCTGCCATTGGCTAACGGTGTTTCGTTTATGTGCCCCACATGCCAAGAAAAAAAAATGTGGGGTGGTGAAGTCATAACAACATTTGAATCGATTTTTAAGTAAGTTTATTGAACTGATGGACAATTAATTTAATGAACTGATGCTGAGTATGAGGTCTTATATAAAAGAAATCACTATCCCAATGCTAAACAACAGCAATTGTCAAAAACTGTAAAAATCCAGTCATGCCCAGTAATCTCCTATTTTCAGAAGAGCTCAAATATAGCTCAAATATTTGACCTCAAATATTTTTCATTAAATTCTCCAAAATAAATAAATAGTCGACATCTGTGACCAAAAATGTCACCAATATTATTTGTTGTTGTTGTTAGAAATCAACTAAATTAGTAGGCTGTCACGGTGCACACACACGAGGAACACGGGAACGAAGGAGCGAGGAGACACGGAGTAGAATAAATCAAAAGGGTTTTATTAACAAAGGCTGGGGATCACAGGACTCGACACATCAGGATGACGTTCAACGACTGACAAAGGACAAGAACTAGAACACACTTTAAATACACAGGAACTGATGAGGGGAAGACAAGGGACACCTGGAACTAATGACAATCAACATAGGAAACACCTGGGAACAATGAATTCAAAACACGAGACAGAGAAACTTGAAGACGGAGCACATAGGGAGCAAAGACACACACAAAACCTGGCCCAGAGTCTCACATAGGCTAATTAAGTAGAATACATTTAAAAGTCCCTCCTCTCCATTCTCTGAGACAATCTTATAATTTAATTTATTTATTTATTTTATTTTATTTTAAAACTGTCGGGGTGGATTTCGCAGGATACTGTTTAATTTCGCATGCGCAGTGTGTGTTTACATTCTGTCAGTAAATACAGAAGTTTCGGCTACTAGAGCGCATTTATCAGATAAACTTTTTGTAGTTTGTTTTTTTAGAACGTGTAATCTATTAAATGTTATCTTTAAAAAAACACAAACAAGTAGCCTATCACAATTCATTAATTCAATTAATCAAGAACAGTTACAACAAGACAGTTCACGAAATTAACGCTATTTGCGGCGAAACACGAGAATTTTGAAATATTTAGAATCGAAGGTTCGAAATAGTTTGACATAACAAAGCCTTGTTTGCTGCAATCACGTGACCTGGCGAATTTGACACAAGTTCCAAACCACTTGCTGCATTCTCGTCATGTCGTAATTACTGTAATTTCGAGATGACAACACATGACATTCTACTTGGAGCTGTTCACACTCTTGTAGTTGGAACTATCGCACTATCGATGACTAAGCATAGCGCAGGTAGTTAGGTATAGCGAGGTGGTCAGGTACATTGGTACAAGTTCTCAGAAAAGTCCCAGTTCACAAGTTGTAATTACGAGTTCTACGAAGACGTGAATACTTTTTACAAGTTGGTATCACGGTCAATACGATATGGAGTGAACGCACCTACTGATTAGAAACAAAAGATTTATAAATGATTGGAAGCTTCTTGAAAGAGTGTTTCGAAAGCGCCCATCACTACTAGGATGAACACCTAGCCTAAATCGCAAACCATCAGATTATTCGCACAAAGGAGCAGAACCAAAGTGTTTCAAGTAATTACCAAAACAACAGTCCTCATCAAGTAACTGTCAGTTTTATGATTTAACCACTAGAGGGACAAACGTTGCATAGTGTAGGGCTATGCGTTTTTAGGGGAAACATCTGAGACATAGGCCTAAGTGATAGCAATCTGTTCTAAACAAGCTAAGATGTTGTGCTAATTGTTTTCCTGATGTGCTTCCTTAACTAAATTCCACATTTTAACAAGTTTTACATTAGCATTGATAGTCTAGAAAATCTTCTAGACATACTTTCATATATATGAAGAGTCACAGGTCTTTTTCTGGTATTGAATGGCCATGACATATTTTGTTTCATTGGAGACCTTCTAGCTGATATTGTGGCCTTAAGCCTTTCTTATTCGGCTGCTGTAAATGACATGACAGATGGAATAGACTTTAGCAACAGACCTTACGGATGTCCCTGTCTGATTCGCAGCCTTTTTCAAAATATCTGCTGAAAGTCCATCTGTCTTTTATTTCCAATGTAAGGCAAAATAGACACAAAAAGAAAGACTTCCTACTGGGGTTGATTTTCAAAAACCTGTCAGTAAGCTTTTGCATATTAAATTACTGGCTGTTGTAGTATGATATTAGCATGAGTGGAATATATCAAATTTACTTGAAAGGCAACTTATACATATTAAAGTTTATGTAGACTGTAAAAGGTGTTAATTTGCAATTTTTACCTTAAAAGCTATTTCTACCTGGTTTAACCCATAAAAATGAGTTTTGTTGGTTAAATAATATTTGTGACTTTTTATAATATTTTTATGTCACAATTTTTTGGTTACTACTTTTTGGTTACCATGTTTTTTCATTGCTTTACACGCTTAAAAATAAACATTCAAAAATGTTTTGATGTCACAGACGAACCATTTTGGGTTCCCCAAAGAACCTTTCTGTGAACAGTTCTTAAAATAACTAAAATAAATTAGTTTTTCTTAGTGTAAATAATGTTTTAATAATCAAAATAATTTTTTTTTATATATAAATAATCTCTTGTGGTATGGAAAGGTTCCATGAATTTGAAATGATCTTCTTGGAACCATAGACGCCAAAAATTACCTTTATTTTTTCTTTAAAAAATTTGTCATGTGCTGTTACTCAGTGTAAATAAATTAAATTAAATTCATATATATTGATATATGAATAATTTCATATATGACCATAGCTTTGATATCCTGTAATGTTAGTAAAATTCATTGTTGTAAAATTATTTCAGATTAAGTGCAATCTCAGCTGGCTCAGTGATTGTTCATTTCCAAAAAATCTGGCTGTCCACATCACCACTCCCCTTAAATAACCAAACAAGACTGTACATATATCAAAATGAAAGCTAGATTATATGCTTTTAAATGGGCGTTAAGAGCAGGTATAATTTGTTAGTGTAATTCATATAATACCAAGATAAATGGGCAGAAATGTATTTATTAGCAGTTGTTTAAATAGTTTCAAACTGAATGATTGTGAGACATCAGCATGGGATTAATTAATCAAATAATGTGTCATGATCTGTTTGCCAAATTTAATTCCAGATCAATTCTGTGAATTCCTAGTAGGCGAGTAGCTAACATTCTCTCTCCCTAAAAACTACTGACACGTAAATACTCGTACATGCTCTTTATCCATTTACTCAACAATAATTGAGGTTTTATGGCTGAGTGACACCATATTAATAAATCCTGGACAGTGTGCTACACATAATGGGAGGAGCTGAAGACAAACTCTGACAAATTACAGTTCCTGCTGACACTCACTTATTGAATTGAGGACGGTGGGACAAAAGGTCTCTTGAACAGGTCTAATAATGCTTCAAGTGCCTTGTCCCATGCTGAAAAGTGCTGACCGCCTGTTTTTATGGTGGTATTATTACGTAACTCTTTGACGCCAGTTACAAGAATTGTGACTGTAAGAAAGTTCTAGAATTTTCTGTCATTGGTATTAAGTGCCGAGAGCCTGAAAAATGTCTTTAGCATTCCTCACTCTTGAATAAAGTCCCTGGAGGTTTTACAAACATAAAAATGACATTTTCAAAGTCAAGAATCTTTCCTCTGAAGTTTTGTCACTCATTCAGCTGTGAGTCAACACCAACATGCTGCATCAGAGATATTTCTTGGAAGTCTTACGTAACATGCATTGCTGACTCACTTAACTAAACTTTAATAATAACGTCCAAAAGTCTGAGACCACCAGAGAAGATGCTCATATGCATTTCTTTCTATTTTCTTTTTTTTAATTCTGTAAATTCTTGAAATGTAACTTGGATAATATTACATGAATGACTTAATTAACATCAATTTCACAATTTCTAAGTATGTGTATGGGAAATTTTGCTGTAACTCAAGCTGATATTGACAGTTTGTTCAAAACCTGATGATCCATGTTATCCATCATGAATGATCCAAATAGCATCTTGTTCTTCAATGGAAAAAGACATTTGACCTTTTGTACAGGGGAGTTTACATAGCCAATGTCACACATTTTTGTTATTTGATTAGTGACCTAGAAACACTGCCAAATCTTTAATATTTTTATTCATTATTCCTTTTTCCTTTGTAAAACTCTCTGAACATTAAACAGTTTAAAATGTCCCATATAATCCCATCAATCTGGTCTTAGACATTTGGACCTCACTCTGTATTTATTTATTTTTCTAAATGTCTAAGATTAAGGGTGGAGTAAATGCATTGTCAACAAGATTGCAGTGGTTTGACATTTGAAGTTCCTAAGCTCTTAAAAACAGGGTGAAGTTTCATATGAGTAACACCTGTCTTAACCATCAGGACTGAAAAATGTAAAAAATCATCCTGTTTTAGCCAATCACAAAGTAAGTTTGGGATCAGGTTGATTTATAACCTCTGGAGTTAAATTTTAATTAGCACAGATTATATCTGTCCCCGGTCCTATTCACACTTGTTTTAATACATACACTTGTACAAGAAAAAGGATCCAGTCTCTGGATTATGGTTCACCAGACTAAATCATCTGTGAGGTATGTCTATATATCTGTCTGTCTATATATCTGTTTGTCTCTCTGTTGATCTATCTATCTATCTATCTATCTATCTATCTAACTATCTATCTACCTGTCTGTCTGTCTCTTTGTCTGTCTATCTGTCTGATTATCATTGTGTCTATCAATAGATCAGTCTATCTGTCTATAAGAGTAAACTATAATTGGGAAATAAAATTCAGGGCTTGTATAGTGTGTGACTGTTGAAAGGCTTGGATTTACACATGGATGAATCCTCTCTGAACTCCGCATCCTGGGCTAATTCAGGGCTAGAACGCAATG